GACAACTGTGTATCCAAGTCGATGTTGAATCTGTTGAGAGGAACGAATCCTGGGAAGAAAAACAAAAGAACAAAGCTACTGGAAGTGTGGATAGTGCACAGTACTGTTCTCGTTTTGGGAATGCATGAATTGTTAATTAAAATGGAACGATTGATTATTTGTTGTACATACTGTGCAGCAGAACACAATAACCTGAATGATACCAATGCTCCGCGAAGCTGAGCATTGCATTCTATGAAAAAGAAGTCCGTTCCGGAAGGTATTCTTTACATCTCTTCACTGAGGTTTGGAATTCAAATATTTTTTCACAGTATGTGATTTCGAATATACATTGCATTCGCAAAATGATGTTATTCCTTAAAATCAAGTTTGGGCTTATAGTAGTATCGTCCAATTCATCGCAAGGGATGCTATTGCATGATTGTTCAGTAATATGGCAATCCGTTCAAAATACCAGGCTTGATTCTATCTTGAATGCATGAAGGTCTGATGAGCTCCCTTTCGTATTTAAAGCAGCAAATACTCTAGTAGTTTTTGAGAAAATATGATGATGGAAGCTCAACAATGACATGCTGAAATGAGACCGGCACTACCACCATGTGAAAAACTCCATTGATTTTTGAGATTTCAAGTTGCCCGTTCTCAGACTCTAATTGCTCGGACAGCAAACGGTTCTAGGAGGTTGTGAGCTACATCGGTAGGAAGAAAATACCACAGTTTGGAGCGATTCTGACGTGGTCCAAAAAACGGCCTTATTGACACCCCTCCTTTTCAAGTAAATTTACTATTTATTCAATAATTGATTTTTCCTTTATCTTTCTCGAAGCAAAAGTCAAAGAAGAAATTGCAGGGATAGATTTATTTTTAATTTAACTAGAAATCGATTATTTCTTGTTTATAAAGAAATATATAAAACATGGAAATATAGATAATTTTCTGAAATTATATTTTAAACATTATTCTAATTATAATTTTAGTTATAATTTCATAAATAAAGTAATGTATTATTAATATTATTGTTGTACATTTAATGGCAGACTTATTAAGTTATATATTAATTTTAATTCATACTCTTTCTATTATTTTTCGAATATAGAACTCGTGTGTGCACAATAATTTTTTATTATGTTGAAACAGCATATGTATATATTTCCGTCGTCTATACTGGGTGTTTGGTACTCAATGGTACAGCGCTCGTGGGCAGGTAGTGTGAATCAAACTGAACAAAAAAGTTCTCTACCATTTTGCGATCTTTGTAATAGTTTTCGAGATATTAATATATAAAGCTCGTCGAATCTAAACGCGTGGCGAGATACGCCCGCCCGCCGCGGACTACGATCACCACCTCCGCGCGCCTAGTGAGTGGCGCATAGTGGGAGTAATTGATTTAACGCCACTATGCGGTCGCCTAGTGCGCGGCGCGGAGTGGGGGTAATTGCACGCTTATCAATGCTGTTGGCGACCGCGGTCTGCGGAGGGCGGGCATATCTCGCCGCGCGTTCAGATTCGACGAGCATTATATATTAATATCTCGAAAACTATTGCGAAGATCGTAAAATGGTAGAGGACTTTTTTGTTCAGTTTGGTCGACACTACCTGCTCACGAGCGCTATACCACTGAGTACCAGACACCTTGTATACAGATCATTTTTTGTTCAAAATTACTCAAAATTGCCTAAAGGCAACATATATTGCGTATATGTATAAGAATTATTATATACACAGAAATATTATTGTGATCATTTCGATTGTGGCATACTTATGAAAACAAATTCATCAACAATTTCTAAAAAAAAGTTAATTAGTCAAGAGCTGGAACTGCTACTATTAGTTACTTCAGTAAATAAGAAATATTGAATCTATACTTTTTAAAATGTTAATATTACATATAATTTTTGATTATTTTTGCATAATATTTTGTAAATATTATACAAACATTATATAATAACATATGGTTTTAAAAATATTTTTTAAATATTTTAAATATATAAATTAAATTATTTTTTTAATGTTATACTGTAACACGTTTCATTATTATGTTTAAGACATAAATATAACATAACAGTGAATAATGTTAAAGTGAATGTTTTTTCAACGTCAAATCTATATGTTGTTCATTTTTCTACATTGATTAATATAATGTTGCTGCAACATTGAAACAACATTGAACAAATTGATATTAACATCGCTCATCCGAAAACATCAGTAATACACAGCATCAACAGATGGACTTGGCAGAATATACAACATTTCTCGTAAATAAAAAAATACAGCAGGGTTGGCCAACTCGGGGCACGCGTGCCACTATAGTGGCATGCGAAGGCATTCTCAGTAGTACGCTTAAAGGAGCATGCACTTAGAGAAAAATTAAAAGAACCAAAATAACGCAGTGAAATACTAATCGCATATTCCACTCAAATCTATTTTTTACAGTTACACTTTCTGGCTGCGCTCATTTTGTTCATTTTCATGCTAAAAATATTAGGCTAATACACTGGTCCAAAAAATTAAAGGATCACCTGTTCTAGCCTCCAAAAATAGGCAAAATTCAAGAGAGTGTAACTTCGTCAAAAATGATCGTATCGAGATGATCAAAAAAGCATTTTACAGCTTGAAATCTCTACTTTCCAA